CCTTCCATTGGCCCTCGCGCTTCCTGAGCTTCCCTGTGTCCTGGGAGGACTCCCCGAGCGACACCCTTTCCCTCCGTGTCCCCCGCCCCGTCCTGTCTGCACGCACGGTGGCTGCTTCGTAGCTTCAGCACGTCGGACGGCCCCTCATGTTTGTCCACAGCGAGTCGATAAACATTGCTAGGCAGTGGTACCTGGACTGGACCCTGGAACAGGTGATGGACAGTATAATGGAAAAACAGGTGAGCCCAAGAGAAGCCTGTAGGAGGTGAATACTGCGGTGCCAACTTCGATTTTCTGGTTTTGATCAGTGTAGCCTGGTTCTGGTTCTGGTTCTGGTTCTGATTCTATAAGGTGTTAGCATTAGAGGAAGCTGTGGGGCCTCTCCACTTTGCGACTCTTCCAGAAATCTAACATTCTTTCAAAATAAAAAGTTCAAAAGCCAATCATTAGATGGCTTTGCAGCAGTGTTTAAGGCCACCCTTTTGGAGTCAGACCAACCTAACTTATAATCCTACCGACCAGACCACTTACTACCTATACTGTATGATCGTGGGCAAATCGACAGCCTGTAGTCTCTCTGAAGTTCATTGTTAAATGGCCGGCACTGTGGAAACATTCAATGAATGGTAGTTGGTTTTGTTGCAGTCCACACTATTCAAAGCAAAGTTATTACTGTATTCCATTCATAGCAAAGTGTTATTACCACAATAGGTTAAGACTATGGCCTGAACTCTCCTTTTCACTATTTTCCAATGCTCTCCTCCGAGCACCCTGACAAGCCCTGTCCTTAAGCCACATCTACACATCGACTCAACAAATACCTCTGAGTGTTCTAGCCGCCGTTCCGCCACCGGTGATACAGCAATGCATGAAGCAGGCAGACATGGCTGCTGTAAACAGCTCACATGCTGGTGGGGACAGACAGGCAATAAGTAGGTAAAATATACAGTGGACTGATTCTCAGAGTGAGGTCCCCCGTCCGGCAGCAGCAGCACCTGGCAGCTTGTGAGAAATGCACATTCCCAGGCCCCTCCAGACCCACAGACTCAGAGGCCTGGGGGTGGGCCCAGCAGACAGGTTAACAAGCCTCCCAGGCGAGTCCCCTCCTGGGTGACTCTGGTAAGTGCTCGGGTTTCAGAACCACTTGATACGATGTCAGTGATAATCAGTGTATTGGACTAAAGCAGGAAATGGGGCGGGTGCCCGGGTGAGGAGGGGGTTGCAATTTTATTTTATTTTACTTTGTATATTTTTATTGATTTCACAGAGGAAGGGAGAGGAAGAGAGAGATAGAAACATCAGTGATGAGAGAGAACCACTGATCGGCTGCCTCCTGCATGCTCCACACTGGGGATCGAGCCCAAAACCCTGGGCATGTGCCCTGAGCGGAAATCGAACCGTGACCTCCTGGTTCATAGGTCGACGCTCTATCACTGAGCTACACCGGCCAGGCAGGGGGTTGCAGTTTTAAATAGGGTGGTCAGAAAAGCCTAACTCTGATGGTGACATCTGCTCAAAGATACAAAGATGTGGGAGTGGGCTTCCAGGGGAAGACTGTTAGGCAGGAGGATGGCAAAAGCAAAGGTCCTGGGGCAGGAGCAGCCTGGGATGTTAGAAGAACAGCAAGGAGACCAGTGCAGTCAGACTGGGGTGAGCAAAAGAGAGAGAGAGAGCACATGGGAAGAGAGGTGGAAGGTCATGGGGCTCCAGACTGTGCAGGGATTTGTAAGCCATTGCAACATGTTTGACATTCCCATATTGGAACATAGTTTGTCCACAAACATTCTACCTCTTCCTACGTAGGTTAGAGCCCTCCCTCACCCCAGCCCACCTGCCTGGCCTGGTCAGTGGCCCTAGGCAATCCCTCTCTTCCTTAGATGCCCCACCCCGTGCTGTCGGAAGAGGCTCTCCCATCCCTGACGCCACAGGCGCCTTGGTTTACCCCCAGCCACATGCATAGGCTTGGCCTGTATTTTGCCCTGTTGGGTTGTATCCACCTGGAAGAGAAACGTAGTCCTTCCCCCCGTCCTCTCACTGCCCATCACAATGTGCGTGCATTGCAGTGTTACAGAAATATTTACCGAATTTCCCTTAATGCATTGGGAGAGAAACCAACGCATTACTGGCACTGGCTAAGTATTACAAATGTTGCCAATGATTTTGCAAATTCCCTCAGAGGTAATAAGAAAAGAAATTTATAGATTTATTCTCCAACCACAGAAACATTTTGGATGCAGTTGTAGGACTCGCCCAGAATTTGACTGAAACCTGCAGAGTCACGCACTATCCCCAGCCCCTCTCCCTGTGCCTGGTGCCTGCTGGGCCCTGTGCTGGCAATGGCTCGGGTATCCTGGATTTACTGCTAGCCTGGGCCAACAGGGACCGGGTGGGAGGTGGGTTTGAATTTCTGTTCCACCCACAGGGGGTTCTTCCCTTTTTTTTTTATTATCATGAATCCCATGAGCATCTGGGGAAGCCTGAGGGCTGTTTCCCAGGACTAAGCAGGTTTTAAAATAAAACATAAGATTAAAGAGGAAACACATTTTACTGACATAGAATTAAAATTATGTTAAAAGTTATCAGAAGATTAAAAAAATAAATTTGTTAGAGTAATTTTTTGCCTCCTCGTTCAGTAACAAGATCTAGAGGCAAATCTAATCAGGGCCAAACCCCTGACATAACACTGAGCATAAGAGGTGCGGAGCCGCACCCAACGACCGTCACATGACAGGGAATGAGCTGCACTTCCGGCTGCTGACATGGACCCAGTACTGCCATCGCTGCAGTGGTTTGTGGGTTACACTCACGATGGAAGGAAGGAAATGCCAGGTTTTTAGTTTGTCTCTGACTGTGAGCGGTGAGTAGGGGGAATAATATGGTTCCATCCAATTTCATTCTGTATGCTATGCAGTTTAGTCCCAGAATAGAAGTGGGGACAAATTCCCTCTCTCAATTTCAGTATTCATATCCGTAAAACGATGCCTAATAAATGGCAGCTATATTTCTGGCAGGAGCGGGAGGAGTTAAAGACTCCCTGTAAATAGTCTGGAATATGCCCTGGGTCACTTCGTTCTAATCTAACCAGTGTCAGATCTATGAGCTGACCCTCCGGCACTCATCTTTTCTGGGTGAGAACTCCTACTCCCCAAGTGTCCCTGCCCACCTTGGGGAGGACAGCCTGGCAGCCCGAAGGGACGCCCAGCAAAGAGTATGTACTCCTGGTGCAGTCACCCCACCTGCAGCCATGCCCACCTGCAGCCCGAAGTTACGGAGGGGCACTGGCGAGTCCAGGAAGAAATGTGGGGGCTGCAGAAAAGGGGACAGTTCTTGGGACAATCTACCCCAACTCACACCTCTTCCACACGGCGGCTGGAAGACTCGATTGTTTGCCAAACAAGGTCCTCTTTATGTCTAAGGCAGTGGTTCTCAACCTTCTGGCCCTTTAAATACAGTTCCTCATGTTGTGACCCAACCATAAAATTCTTTTCGTTGCTACTTCATAACTGTAATGTTGCTACTGTGATGGATCATCATGTAAACATCTGATATGCAGGATGGCCTTAGGCGACCCCTGTGAAAGGGCCATTCGACAGCCAAAGGGGTCGCGACCCACAGGTTGAGAACCGCTGGTCTATAGTCATGGTCTCAGCGAGGATTTTCCCAGAACCCACCAGTACAGTCCAGGATACCTTGCCTGTGCCCACCTGGCCATGCCTTCTAACTCGTTCTCCACTTAAGTTCCACCTTAAATAGTGTCTTCACTCTCCCTGAGTGACATGAAGTTGCTTTTCCACGCATTAGAAAGGGATTTCCTCTTGGCCGAGCCCTCGGAATTGTTCTCTTCATGGACCATGAGATTTCTTCAAGCTCCACCATGCAAAGCTCCACAGACCGGTTTGCATCCGAGTCACCCAGGAACCCCTGCGAATCCAGGCGGCTGGGTCCACCCCCAGCGACTCTGACTCTCTAGGCTGGGGGGTAGGGGGGCGGGGCGCTGAGAATCTGCATTTCCAACACACTCCCAGGTTTCTTTACCACTGGGAGCCCGTTTCTTTATTATTAAAACAGGGCTGTCAAGGAGATGAGAAAAAGGTGAGATATGTAAATATATTCAAAGCACTAAGCCCCTAACAGAAATTTAATAACTACTCATTCCTTTCCTGAAGGCGCACTGTGAGAAGAAGGCTGAGTCTTGAAGCGACAGCAGAAATTAGCTGGGGAGGAAGGGAGTGAAGAAACAACAGTGCTGGGTGCTGGGGTGCATGGAAAACACAGACCATTTAGAAGCTGCCAGCAGCTACAGGTGGCTGAGGCAGGCTCATGGGTCACAGATACATATGCAGGGACTTGATCATAAGGGCCTTTTGCTATTACACACACACACTCACACTCACACACACACACACACACACACACACACCAGGCCAAAATGGAGTCACTTTTGTTAACCGAGTCGCCAAATCAAAACCCCATAACCAACAGCATTGCAGCGTCAGCCTCTCCCAGGGGTGGGACTTGAAACCAATCTGTCTGACATTTCCTACTCAATCCTCAGGTGCAAGTCAGATCCACAGGAACAGATGAAATAGCCCTGAGGGCCGAATGCCGGGAACAGCAACGTTTATGAGTAATCCCTAATGGAGCTCAAGTCAAGGTTAATGACACCGGGTGGGGCTCATCATATCGGAGAACAAGTATACTCTGGTTTAAGCGGACATCAAGGTCTGCCTTGATCAGGGGCACCCACAGCACCCAGTGCAGCACTCAGGCAGGAGAAGCAATGCAAGAAAACATCCCCCAGAGGCCACAGGGCCCAGCCGACGTGGCTCAGTGGTTGAGCGTCAACCTATGAACCAGGAGGTCACAGTCCGATTCCCGGTTAGAGCACATGCCCGGGTTGTGGGCTCCATCCCCAGTGGGGGCCATGCAGGAGTCAGCCAATCAATGGTTCTCTCATCATTGCTGTTTCTGTCTCTCCCTGCCTCTCTGAAATCAATAAAAATATATTTAATAATAATTTAAAAAATAGGCCATAGGGACCATGCCGGGAGCAAGAGGGAAGACAGCTGATCATCATTAGGAGGTGGAGGCGATCCTCATATGCAGGTGAGCAGCGGCCCTTGTCCATCGCCCTCTACAGATGGGTCTCTTGTCAGAAATCTGTTGTGTGAGTGAGACCCCCCTGATGTGCCAAAGCCTAGAAATCATCTGGGAGAAAGACACTGTGAGCCACGAGTCATCACAGAAATAAATAACGTCCCCTTTCCTCTTCTTTAAGACAGTCAGGACGCCCACATGGGTCCGATTTCCTCTGGCCCCAGCTCTCCTGCCGGGCTCAGCCGCACCACCATGGACCAGCAGGGACCGCACAGCCCAGGTCTGAGCGCTCGCCTTTCTTGCCACCGGTTCCTGGCCGGGCTGACCCGAGGAGGACAAACATCCCGCCAGCCAGGTAAGGGGAGCGAGGAAACTAGCACGGGGTCTGCGCTCTTCCTGTGCAGGACAGACCCAAAGAGGAAGCCCCGCGCCCCGCGTAGGAGGCCCAAGATTGGACCAGTGGAGAGGATTCCTGTAACCCTGTGTCTGCCTAGGAAAATCCAGTGTTTACAGAAACACAAGCTATCAGATAAACGGTGACAATTTCAAATGTACTTCCCCCTTGAAGAGTGATGCAACTAGCCGTTTATTCTCTCTCGTCTTAGGGAATACATTCTGCAGACAATCAGGCACCTGCCGGGGCCTGGCCCTCCCCCGATAATGAACCGGCCTTTGTTATCCTCAAAGATGTTTTCTAAGAAGAAAACCTGTGGCCCGACTCTTGGAAAAATGGGACCTCTGTCCTGATTTCAAAAAGCTTGGGCCTGGGTGTGGCTGCTCGGAAGGGGACGGGGCTCTGGTGGGACTGTCACAGGCAGAGAAAGGTTTCATCAGAAGGAACGGGAACACCTGTACTGGTGGGAATCCCGTCTCCGTAGACCTGTCCCTATTATAGCTGGAGGGGGCGGGTGGGGAGAAGCAATTCTGAGCCCATCAAGCTATTGAAACAGCCCAGCATCTGGGCGAAAGGCCTCCTCAGAGGACACCCGGTAACACCTGTGCCTCCAGGAGTGCCTGGGGCTGGAACAGCTGTGGGCAAACTACAGCCCGCAGGCCGGATCCTGCCCGTTTGAAACTAAAAAC